GGGGCAGCGGGGGCAGCGGGGAACTCCAGCGCTGACGGTGAGTCTGAGAGAAACAGGACAGCCACTCGTTAGACACGGGCACATTCGAACCAACCTGGGGCGCATCCAAGTTGCGGAATCGATACAGAAAGAGACGACGGGGGAAGGGCCAAATGAAATAATTGGCACCTCACCTTCTTCGGCTGACGTCCACGGCGCACAGCTCGCCCGTGTCCTCGGCGACGTCCTGGCGCTGCTCGGGCTGCGGTCTCACGGAGTCAGCTGCAAGAGAGACAGCAGAATAAATTGCGTGCACCTGAAACAGGAAGAGACCGCGCGGAAGACTAAATGAAATTCTTGTGACATTATCACCTACCTTCGGCCGACGTCAGCGCGACGTCCATAGCAATGGGCACAGCAGCGCCGTCCGCAGGCTGGGTGTACTGCGTCAAGCGGAGTCCCCTGCAGAAGTCTGTCGTCTGCCGAACAAAAACGGGGGTGAGGACGCGTGACTGACAAATAAAGTGTCGAGAGGCGTGTTCGGTCTTACTTACACGCTGAAGCGGCTGGCTGTCTGCTCGAAAGCCGCTGCACTATGCGCCTAGCTGAAACTGGAGAGACTTTTAGCAAAGCGAGCCGAGAGCACGAACTAAGTAGTACACAAGGACAAGGGTGAGGGTTATTGTCGAACTTCTATTTCAGGCGGACGTGTCACCCGGGTGTCCTTTTTAACAACGCTGCTACCGATGATGTGTGCCCGTGGGTAACGCCCCGCCTGCCCCACCAACTCCACGGACAGCCGCGCCCCTGCGCGCAGGCCGGCCCGCACGCGTGCGCTGAAGGCGCGAGACGCAAGCCGTAGGCAGCGAGGGTGGGTACGAACTGATCGTCTCGCACAGGGCCGGCCCTTGTACGCCTGAAGGGAAAGACGAACGTCACGTCGCAGAGGGGGGCCCCACAGCCAGCTCACGAAAGCAGGTAAGGAAAACCGCTGAGTTCGACATCCAAAAGAAATACTTGTTGCCAATAAACCACTCTTTACCAGGGCCTGGACCGGGCACCCCAGCAGTGAGCCTAAGCAAAGAAACAAACAGGAGATTAAAACTAAGCGTCCAATGAATTAATGAATTTTAAAGTCTGATAGACAACCTACCTGTCCGGCCGAATACCGCGCCCTGCGCGTGCGCCCGCTCAGGTTCTGGCGGCGGAGGGTCCTTGCGACGCTGGTCGGGTCGGGGCAGTCCAACGGTGGTGGTGATGAGTCTGTGAGAGAAACAAGCAGGGACATGTTAAACATGGGCCCATAAACAGCATGGGGTGCACACGAAGGACAAGGTGAAATTATTGAAATGACATCTCACCTTCTCTGGCCGATGTCCTCGGCGCACAGCTCTCCATAGTGTCCTCGCCGACGTCCTGGCGCTCCTCGGGCTGTGCATGCACGGCGACGGCGCGCGCAGCGTGCTGCCTGGTCTGGTGCTGTCAGACCCGCGACCGCTACAAAAGTAAAAGTTACATAAGTAAAAAGGTCTAACTCGTCGTAACTAGACAAATACTACTTTGGTGTTCGTGTGGAGGTCCCGCGGTGGCGGTGGTGGTGGTGAGTCCCGCGACCTGGCGTCCCCTTGCGCGGCCCGCGCCTCTCCGCGCCCGGCTGTGCCCCTCCGGCCCGCTTAGCCCCCCACCGCAGGATGGGGCACCCAACACTTTCGCCCGCGGATCAGCAGCTCGGAAGGAGAAGTCTCGATGCGACCCCCTCGCTCTGCGCGCGGCAGGGCCTCCCCTTGGGGTACCGGTGGAGACGTCTCAAAGGGTACGGCCAAACCACGGCGTGGGGGCGGGGCGGGGAGCGGCGCCGGGCCCGGGGGCAGCGGGGGCCTCCAGCGCTGACGGTGAGTCTGAGAGAAACAGGACAGACACTCGTTAGACACGGGCACATTCGAACCAACCTGGGGCGCATCCAAGTTGCAGAATCAGTTCAGGGACAGAGACAACGGAAAGACTAAATGCAATTATAATTGTGACATTTCTCACCTTCCTTGGCCGACGCCCTCGCCGACGTCCTGGCGCTGTCCGTGCTGACATGGCTCTGCGTCGGCTGCAAGAGAGACAGTTGAATAAGTTGGGCCTACAAGCGTCGTACTGGACGGAGAACACTCACCTCGGCAGCGAACGTCTTCAAGGCGGGACGGTGGCGCCGTCCGCTGAGCACATCCTGGATGTCGGCGTCGCTGCTTCTACTTCTTCTCTTGCACCCCGACTGAAAGACTTTGAGCGTCGGTCCAGCACGAGTCACGTAACACGAGTGCAAACGGCCACGGCCCACGGCCCATACGTCGGGCTTGGCAGAGCTGTATCGCGCCGGACACGTCGCCTCCAGGTCTCCTTTTCAATAACTTTTCTGCTGTGATATTTGCCCGATGACGCGCGCCAATGCCGCCCTGAAGGGCCCGCCTCTCCACTCACAGCTTCCAGTCCTAGGCGTGAGGCCCGGGCCCCATGCCACGCTGAAGGCGCATCAGACGGAAGCTGTAGTGATAGCAGTCAGGTACGCAAAGCATTGTCCTGGGGGATGTCCTGAAGGGACAGACAAGCCACGTAACAGCAGGCAGCACCCCACAGCCAGCTCACCACAGAAAGTAAGGAAAGCCACAAGGTTCCACATCCAGAGAAATACCTGCTCTACCAAAGCCCTTCACCTCGACAGAGGACGACCAGGGTGCCAGTTGCCAGCCTGCGCATACAGAATACAGAAACAAACATAATATTAGAACATGTGTCAAACAAGCAGGTCTATTTGTTATAAACCTCAGCTTCACACTAAAGTCGATTACGATTCCCAGCAAATGTTGATAAAAAGACGGCAAATGATATTGAACAGGTATTTGACTGTACAATCAACAATGCATCACCAAAATTAGATAACATAAGGGTGTCGAGCGCACGAAGTGCACAGGATATTGTACCACGTACTAAAATAGTAGCATGAAATTTTAACAAACGAATTTCCAAAAACAGAGGGGCAAAATGACAAAAGAGGCCAATTAGTTGCGTAAGTCATTCATACAACATGAAATTGAAAAACTAATAAAGAAATACCTTAAACGTGGGGAGAACCATGGAAAAATAAACATTAACTTCTAAATTTTGATGGCAAATCCCACCATGTTGACAAATGAAGGCCAAAGCTGTGTATGAGACTAGCCTGATAAAGCCGCAACACAAGTCAAAAGACAACACTGCAGAATAGCTCACCGTGTGTCAACTACCGTTTCGCCAGTTCTATCGAACTGCACTTACATTGGCCCGGCTTGTCCTCCCGAATAGAGGATGAGAGATTGAATGAGTTCATGCATTCACACGTGATCGGCGTAGGTTATGTGACAAAACTAACACAATATCAGCAGGCTGGCACGACAACTCACTCTCGCTTACGGACTGAATGACTCACCTGCGCCGGCATTGACGATAAAGAAACCTTTGACGGTTGACGTTGAGATAGTCACTGATAAATTTTGAAAAACTTGTAACCGTTGGTGATGCAAGTGTTGCCTTTTAAAGCCTTTCTTCTTTGCTTCTTCTTTGCAATTTCTTGTGCTCTCAGGCCTGGGTGCTCTCTAACACAACACTGCTGCCAACCTCTGAAGGTGATTCACATCTATTACACATCCGCAATAATTTTCAAATAACATACCCAGTGAGAGATGATTTTATTTAGCTTTAGAAAGGATTTATGACTGCATGCTCATAGCGACATAGACGTCGGATTGAAGTCGATTCGAAACTACGTTCTTGCGGTAAGGAGGCACTGCCGAGGGGTGGGCGGCTGGGCGGCTCCTGTGTATGTACAGGCCAAAATGTACTCTAGGTGTTCTCCGATTGTACTCCGACTGTACCCCGTGTACTCCGGCTTTTTTTTTTGTCGCAAGTTCTCCGCGTACTCCGACTGTACTCCGGGTGTTACTCCGGTGTACGCCGGGTGTACTCCAGGTGTACTCTGCACGCTCCGACCAGCAATACTCGGTGTTCTCCGACTGTACTCCGTGTACTCCGTACTCCTGTGTACCCGAAAAATTCAAGTCGCCCACCCCTCGGGCACTGCCCCCTTTTTCATGGGGCAAATTCCTCAAAATCTGAGAAGTTTTTCCTAAACTACTGTGTTATTTTACAGTATTCCGTTTTCCCTTGAAACGAAATCAGACATAGTTTTGACCGAGTACCCGGCCAGCTACTTAGTCGCTGGTCAGTTGTTCAAATTTCCATTCGCGGAGATCCGTGCCGTGGTACCGGGTGTCCAGGAGAATACGCGGCGGCTCGATGGGTTGCCTACGCACTGGAGTGCAGGCGCGGAGGGCACGGGGGGAGCGGTGGTGGAGGTGGCGGAAGGCGGCCGGTTGCCTCCGGTTGCCTCCCGTCACCTCCATCGCTCCACCCCTCGCCTTACCCTTACACGCCTGCCCGTCAGTGCGTTGGCGACCCATCGAGCTACCGCGTATTCTCCCGGACACCCGGTAAGTAGTGGTTTGGTTACCATTTATTTCAATGTGGCTGTGCGCATGCCTAGGGGTTTACCAGCGACCCCAAGTGAGAAAGGGTTTTTGGATGCACCTGATTCCGATACTTTTTGACATGCGATGTCGAAATAATATCACATCGATATTTCATTTCGCACTTCTGGGAACGCTTGACTACATTGTGGTCACGACCGCACTGAGCGTTCATTGAGGAGCTCACACATTCACGCACACATCCGCATGCCAAAGGACACCCCGATGCAATAGGCGCAACGGACTCTAAATAAACTTGTCGTAAATCAGAATTTTTCGCGTTTTTTAGCTGTTGAACTCAAATTCTTGCCCCCCCCCTTTTCCTTCTTCCTCTCCCCGGCTTCTATGACCACATTGAGTCGTGCAGGACATTTTTCGGTGCCCCCGATTTGAACATATTCGAGCGCGACCACAGGGTGGTCATGCGGCACTCAAATTTTAGTTCCCAACCCTGCATTATGTTTTTTCCGCACATCGATTAATTTCTAAACGGCCGTGTTTGTTTCGACTGTTCTCGCTTCGTCTCTGAACACATGGAACGTAACTCGATCTCGCCGCACCCCTCTCCATCTCGTCCTCTTATTACTAGGATAATGAGCTAAAGCCGTGAAGACGATGCCACACCTCCTCTCCCCTCCCCTCGTCTCGCCGCCCCCCTCCCACTTGAGCGCTGGTTGGCTTAACTTCTTAGCCCCACCAGCATCCGCCAGGCGCCGCCCACCGCCCCCCCACCAGGTGGTCCTTCCCCCACCCCCGGACTGCCGCCGCGCCGCGCCGCCGCCGCCGCCGGGCGGGTGGTGGTGGGGGGCACAGGACTTCTCCCCTCTCCCCTTCTCTCGGGCTCCCTCTCGCGCGCCGACGCGCCGCCGTCGCCGCGGTGCACCGCCAGGGTGGCCTTGTCTGATTCGTCCGACGGATATTATGCAACCCCTCCACCCCCACCCCCTCAAACCCCGCACATGGGCTGGTCACAGCCATGAGTCCATGGGCACGGTGCCAAACCCGGAGCGCCCACGCGACCCCCACCCTGACGCGCAGGCGAAAGGACATGCGCTCTCGTCTAACGAGACCCGCGCGCCTTTACACTGTTCAGATTAGGACCAGTGATCTGTTGAAAGTCATCGAATTTCCCGGGCAAAAGAAAAAGGGCCAGGGTGTCGTAACACGGGGCCTGCTAGCTGCTCTTTCGCCTTTTGCCGAGGAGGGGTTCACAATGGAGCGAGTGCTAGGGGAGAGGTGGAGCGGGAGAGGATGTCGATGGGGAGGTCCTTTCTCTCTGAGGCTATCTGTTAGCTGGACCAGTACGCGTACGCCACTACGGACCTCCCACTTAGTGCTCGGCTGCCCTTACAATCAAGCTGGTCGGGAGCAACGCTGTGCTTAGCTCGCATATTAAGAAAGATAGCTGGTCGGTTTTTCTGTGAAAAGTTGAAAACCAAAACGTTGTTCTCTATCGTGCAGATAACTTGTGTGTGGGCTGCGCCCTGAAGATTGCTGACAAAGTGTCAGAAGGGTTTCGGCGCTATCCGCGGGGTGACGAGTCCCCTCAACGCGGACCATCCGTCCGGGTCATCATTGGTTTACAGACTACCTTTTCAACAAACACCCAAAACACCGACGAGACGTGATCGGCGAGTGTGTCGACCCGACACCGCGTGACATGCGTGGCCTTTTCACTCATGCGGGGGGAGGGGTAGATGCACCCCCCCCCCCCACAATCACTCGTCACAGGCCATCGTCGCCACATCACCGGCCCAGTTCACGCGTGAGCGCGCAAGAAGTCTGTGCCAGTGTCCCGGGCAGTGTGGCCATTGACCGCGCTGGGGCTCCACGAACCCCATCAATACCCCATCAGCCTCCCATTGTGTGCATCCCCCC